ACTAAACTCAGGAGTTAAATCTTAAAAATGCACTCAAGTACCCTATTTAAAAAATAGCTGATTTGTGTATCACTCGGCTGTAGATACTCAAATCCTCTCTGAATTAGTCCTTCCTTCTGGAGGGTGGCTACTTCTGTTCCCCATGGTCCCTGTGTGTGTTGTAAAGTAGCCACCGCTCCAAGCTCGCTCCCGAGATGCACTACAATCTCACGTTTAGTTTACTAATTTGTATTGAGATTGTAGTCTATCACAGGAGCAAGCTTGGAGCGGGGGCTACTTTACAAAACACACAGGGACCATGGGGAACAAAAGTAGCCACCCTCCAGAAGGTAGGACAGTGTCAGCACCAATTCAGAGATGATTTGAGGATCTACAGCTGAGTGATACACAAATAAGATACATTTCTGTTAATAGGGTACTTGAATGCATTTTTAGGATTTAACTCCTGAGTTTAGTGTCACTTTAACTACTTGGAAGTAAATTTCAACCCAAAAACTGTGGAGGTATCATTGTTTGGTAACAGCAAATGTAATGAGGTGAAAACATATAAATAATGAAAAACAAAACATTGGCTTAAATAAGAGAAAAAGGGCATTCAGACTGTACAGTGACAATGTCATTATTGCATGTTGGCTTGTTTTAAAAAACGTGAGCTGGTGTAATTAACAGTGGCACGTGCTTTGTCACTTGAAAGTGTTTACCTTGTGCTAAAAATATTTATATTACCAAGGGTGTGTCTTCACTGGGGTAAATAATGCCACATTTTCATTTTCTGGCAGTGTCACAGAGCAAAAAACAATAAGAACAATCAGTGCTAGAAAAAGCCTAAAGTGCATGTAAACTCTAACAATGAACATGTCTTTTTGGCACCCATTTGGTCCTTAAAATATGCCATTGAAAGCATTTTGTTATATCTGTTCACTAGATGCAAAAAAAACAAACCTACTGGTACAGTATGTCAGAAATGTTGTGCGTTAATAACTTCCTATCCTCTGCATACATAACCATTGTAATTAATATCAGAGATCCAGATGTTAGTACATCTGCTATATTAGCTGAAATGATTCAGGACATGTCAGTTACTAAAAATCCTTCTACTAAAAAAAATATTAAGGTCGTTTTGATTGATTTTCCCCCCATTTATATTTGCTTGCTGGAAACTAATATATATATATCAGTATGAACAAGCATGCAAAATAATATTGCCAGTGATGGAGAGTAAGCTGAACTTTAATAAATGGGGCATATAGAAGGATGATGAAAAAGCTTGAAGAGAAAATGAGGCCAACCCTTCTATTATGTTTCTTGTCTCTGTTGTACCTCTACCTCAGGTTTCTCAAGCCATGGCAAGCCTTCTGGCCTTCTTAGGGTGCATTGCAATTTTTGCTAAGAATCAGGCCTTTTCATAGTGCAGGCAGGCCAGCCGCCAACACCATGGAAACAAATGACACTAATCCAGGGATGGTGGGATTAATTAAAAAAAGGATGGACGTTTGCTTCTATCCAGGCCTCCCATTGTTTGCCATGCTGCCGCAGCTCCTGTTGTTATGGTAGGACTCTGATGTGAAGGGGGACTGAACAATCGGATGTGAAGGGAGCTCCTGATGTGAAAGGGGGGACTCTGATACAAAAGGTGGACTCTGATGTAAAGGGGGGCTTATGATCTGAAAGAGGGGATTCTGATGTGAAGGGAGGGGGCTTTGATATGAAGGGGCTTCTGATATGAAGGGGAGCTCCTAGTGTGTTGATGTGAAAGAAGAGGTTGCTGATGTGAAGCGGACTCCTTATGTGAAGGGAGACATCCCATGTAAAGGGGGTCTCTGATGTGAAGAGGCTCCTAATGAGAAGAGGGGTTCCTGATGTGGAGGGGGAACACCACAATTTCCGGTCTGATATGGATTTTGGAGGGGCCACACAAAGTTTTTACATTTTAGACTGGGGTGCTTTGCGATTTTGCATACTTTTAAAGGGTGCCTTGATTGAAGGTTAAGATATGCTGCTCTAGCTAAATACAAAGAGCAGAGCTAACTTCTAAAATATCAACAGCAACCTCTGCACTGCAAGGGATAACTGCTCATTAATGTCCAGGGGACCTGTGTAAAGCACTTTTACTTATCTGATCTCCGCTCCCATTGACTCCAAAATCGGCACCCGCAGCCCCTTTCCAATGTCATCAAGTACAGTGTGCAGCCCATAGACCTGCATTATACCTGAGGAGCCGGAGCGGAGGGGAGAGAGGCGAAATGCAGGAGGAGCTGGGATTATTTATGTATAATTCTTCTTCACAAGATCCCTAGATATAAATGAGCAGTTAAGCATGGGAGTTTTAGTTTTACCCAGAAATATGCCCTTGTTCACACTTCTGTGCAGAGGTGCTACAGAGTGGGCTTGTGCTGCGCTCTGGTAGGGCAGCTTACCCATTTGAATAGGCTACCTACTACAGATAAATCTGCATGTGCGCCTTTTCTGTAAATCACATTGCATAGTAATAGTCTACCATGCAATGTGGTGCAATACAAGTTACATACAATGGGTAGGTGCATTGTGGTGCCATTAAGAAATAATCTTCTATGGCATAGATGAGAACAAAGGCTTAACTTCACAGTGAATCACTCTTTTTACTTATAGTCAGCAGTTGAATGTGTGGGGGGAGTTAAAAATTGCTCTTGCACAAGGCCACCTTGATAACTTGGTCTGTTGCTGATTTAATATGTTTGAATTTTGAATATGTTTTGATATGTCAAATACAATAACCCATAGTGACTAGATTTCACCTTTTGCCAGTTTAGATAAATTGCATTTCTGATATCTCCTATGGATCACTGTACCCCATGCATTGTTACCAACTGTTGACTGCAGATAAAGGGCAGAATGTTTATTTATCATGGATGTCTTATTACAGTGGAATTTCAGCTATTTTTTCTTTTTGAGGGAAAGATCCTTGCCAGGGTCCTATTCCTCTCTGTGTCCCTTTTGGGGGAAATTAACTTATCCCTTTACTGAACTTGCACATTGGGGCAGGAAATGTCCCAACTTCACTAGGGCAGAAAAGGTCCCCAGCACAGACAGCAGTAAAGGTATGAAATCCAAATTACACTGCGCTTGAGTGAGTGATCTATATAAAATGTGATACGGATCTAAAAAATTGTGTCTTTGATGCAGTTTTCTCAGAAACCACTGCATTCAAGTGTGGGATATAATAAAGTGATAAATATCTACAAGAAAATACAATCTCGGCAAAGGTACAAACCTGTGATGTACACAAGTTGCGTGCGTGCGTGTGCGTGTGTGTGTGCGCGACCACTGATTTATATTATATACCTCATATTAAAGGAACCTGAAGGAATATGGAGGCTGCCACTGCTGACTGCTCCTTCTGAAATAGTAGTTATCTGCCTGTTATGATGATGCACTTGCTCCAAAACATTTTGAATCACTGATACAGAACAAGTAGCAGATTAGAATTTCTGATGTCACCCTGACTTTCCTGATCTACACAACTGTTCTGGGTCAGTCTCTCAAAAAGATTTTAAAGCAGTCATTCAGGCAACTGTAATTTTTAGAAACAGAACATCAATGGCTCCGTCCATATTTCTCTTACTACAGGATCACTTTATAAGTGGCACCTTTGACATATGGCTATGTGATGTGTGGAGGCTTTTGTGCTTCCATTCTGTGTGCTCTGATGTTGATTTGAGCCTGGTTGAGAAGGGTTAATATAGTGTTACTAAGTGACAGTGTTCATGCCTCCTCCTCGTGAATATGGATGATACGTGTGGAAAGAAAATCCAGACTGTCGTTTATTATTAGGCAGGAAAATAACATACTGAGCATCACCTCTGTCAATATTTACTTCCCGCTTATAAATCTTACAGCAGAGACGCACACACATGAGCCAAAGCAGATTTACAAGGGATGCCACATGCATGATATTCCTGTGTTCTGCACTAACTACGTTTTTTTGTTTCCATATAAAGCAGAACCATCTGAACTGCAACACCAGAGATAATGAATAACAGGAACAGATGTTAAAGAAAAATACTCAAATGCCATTCTTAAAATAGTTTATTAGTTTAAACATATAAAAATAAATGATATTCTTTATGGGTCGTCTTTATATAATATATTAATTCTGACACATATTACACAACATATATGTTATATAAACATATGATACATTTAAAGGAATAACAAAAATACAATTTAAAAGGCATTTAATGTTAAAACACAAATAAATAAATATCCAAACATACACCTAACAAGCTTATTGGTGTGCAAATGATACTTCCCAATTACAGGTTGGCAAAGTTACAAGGTTGTTCTGCATGCTAATTCTATAAATAATTATAGTAGCATAGCAGAAGCAGGCAAGACAAGGGCTAACAGGGCTATCAAACACTTTATCAAGTGAAATACTGAAACAAGTGTATAGTCAGTCTGAGCAAAGTCATCTACAAAATTGCAGTGCTACTAGACTAGACTAGCATTTAAACAGCCTTAGACAAGCTGTGCCTCTCTAGCTGTGCTGGAACTACAATGCCCAGCATGTGCATGGCAGGGATTGCTGAACCATGAAGTTAATCTACAGCTGCAGAGCCACAGATTGCTAAAACAAAACATTAGTACACTGCCTGCAAATTACATATGGAGATTTTTGAGATGTGAGTGCAAAAATAATAAATGACAGTTCTCAGATGTTGAAACACAAAGATTTAGCAGATACTGCATGAGACTGATTAACACGTGTACAAGGTGGCTTTTGTGATTTCAATACAATGGCTGTCCTTTGATTTATTAGATAGCAGTCCAAAATGAGCACCAACCCACCTGCACATATAAAAAATGCCAAGGTATACAAGTGTTATTTCAAGCCCTATAGTTGACATCTTGAAACACTAAATTTTTAAATAAATACTTTGTTACGTTAATACCCCTCATTGGATCTTTAAGGAGGATTTATATAGGAGAAATGTCTATATTTTTTGCCATTTTTTCTGCCATTGTCAGTTGGTAATGATAATGAATTTGTTCTTAGTTTAAATAAAGTGCTTTGAACTGTTAGATATTGTTTCCTCTTCTTTACAGGGATAATATGCTAAGCAGAGGAAGTTCACTTTGGCCCAGGACACAGTCTCTCTTCATTCCGAATGTTTTGTTGATGGTTTTAATCTTCAGGCAGCAGCTCTGCAGTTTTGTCTGTGGCAAGTTCTCAAAGAAAAAGTCCTCATTAAAGATTGGGTTTCTGCTTCTTCTTATAACGGTGCTTCTCTGCTTCTGCTGCTTCCCCGGAGTAATTGACAATGCCACAAAGCAATTGATTGTTTTTGGGTCAGTATGTGCATTGTAAAGTCCTTCTATGCTGATGAGTCGAACACGTAGCCTCTGTGCTGCATCACAATATTCTGTAGATAAACGCATGGAAGCCCCATTCTCAAGCAACACTGTGTTTTCTGCTACAAAGCTGCCTCTGGAATACAAAAGATCCATTGGAAACACAGAATCCATCATCCCATCAGAAACCCTGCGAATTATATTTGGGCTGCTGTCTGTGGAACTGCACTCATCAGCAGACAGTGAGTTGTTTCTAGAAAGGCTTCCTTTTTTCTTCAATGCTCTAGAAAACAGTCTGTCCTGACTGATGGCTTTCAGGAAAGAGGTACCCCGTGGTGGAGATCTGTGAAGCAAAGGGGAGCTAAATGGAGAAGAGTCTGTTGAAGAGGAGGTTTCGCTGTCCAAGGTTCCGGAACGACTTAGTGACATCAGCTTTAATGTCCTGAAGCTGCTGTAGGATACCCTTGGGCAATTGGTGGTTAGAGAACGAGGTCTGTGTAACAGAATTGAAAGGCTGGCAGGATCATCATGGAAAAGAGATTCCTTTCTCCTGGTGTTGGGGCTTTCCAGCAAGGTGCAGAATCCATAGGAAGTATGGGCCTTAGGAAGATGTGGTAGAGACAAGGCTGCTTGTGCCTGAGGGTCTGCATTTGTACTTTCATCCTCCATAGGCTCATCGGCACTGTCCACTTGTATGATATGTGTCTCTGGTGTACTACAGGCTCTAAAAGCAGCTCCACTAAGGTCTGGTACAGACCTGTAGAGAGACTTCAGTCTTACCCCTCTTGGAGTTGAAAGTAGAGGAGGGATACAGAACTCTGGAATTCTGTCTGGGGTTAGCACATTGGGGCAACGTATAGGGCGCTGCTTTTTGTCCACGATTGCCCCTTTCATTGTCAAGTCAGCCACCTGTCCGTGCATTTCAGGTACCTTCAGCTTGTCCAACAGCCACATATGTCCAGATGGGAGAAAAACAATGATCCTGTAATGATAACATAAAATTAGGCATGTCAAGCTTTGTACAACTGTCCGTAATATGACACACACTGTTTAAAACGTAAATGTTGAAGTCAAATGTGGAACAGCAGAATTAAGTACAGAATTTTCTGTAACTGTTCCTTGATTTGTATTGCACACTTATCTAGAGGCTATTTAGGTATTACTATTTTAGATTATGATGAATTCACTTTATATGAAATATAATCAAATATGGCAGTTATTTACTAAATAAGCAGTCAGTGTTGAAGAAATTACCTTCTGCAATGCTGAAGTCACCCAGAAACAACTTCTGCACGATTCTAAGTTCCAGTAACAAGGATAACTGTGCTGTTTAGCCGTAAGCAGTGAGTGAGCTTAGCTGCTGACTTCACCTGCTTTTATAGCTGAATTGGGCTTTGTTCCAGCAAATCAGCAGCAAGTGGGTGGCGTAGATCTTCCACAGGAAAGAGACACAAGGAAATGTAGTGACACAACAGAGCGTTGTGATAAGAACAACACATACACTGTCAGGTCTATAATAATTACAGACGTTTGTTGCACTTGTTAAAATGTGTAAATTAAAAGAAAAAATTGCTTTAGCACTAACACATAAGACGAAGCCTTTAGCAACTACAATGCAAATCTCTTTATCCATTCAGTAACACGCGGAGATACAAGGCATGGTAACATTAAAAAGATCATTAAAGGATGCAAGATTAGTTTCTGTATTATATACTATAATGTCAGTGGCAATGTCTAAAGATGTTCAGTTTTAGTCCTAAGTTACTGAGATAGAGCATTGCTGTCCAAAATCTTTATTTTCTTTCTTTGGTTTATTAGAAATCATACTATGAAAATTAGTTAAACAGTTCTTTATTACAGGTACATACTTTCCACAAGGGAGCCTTGGTACAGCGATGATGTTATAAGAGCATCATGGAGTAATGTCAATGTGAGCACTATAATGTTACACTGCATGCATGTGGATAACATTTGCATGCATGGCTGTCCCAACACTATTTGCTGCCTGAGGTGCATTTGAGGTGCTGCCATTGCATGCTTGTTCCAGGGGGAGGGGGTGCTATCAGCTAATGGTTGTCTGGGGGGGAGGGGTGCTGTCAGCGGCTCTGTCCGGTGTCCCGTCCAACTCACTGACGTCACTGGTTGCCAGGAGCTCAGTGGGTTGCCAGCCAAACACCATCCCACTCAGCTCCTGGAAACCAGTGACATCAGTGAGTTTTGCAGGAAGCTGGACAGAGCGTCAGAGGTTGCTAAGAAAAAAAAGCACCTGTGTACAGCTTTTAATGTTTTTTTGCACATTTGTAAAAAAAAATCGCTTGCTTGAGCATTTTTGTTTTAGTTACTGGAAAGCTAGTTACTATGAGGAGAGGACCATTATTGATGAAATCGTATGGTTTTCAGGCGTTTTTTCAGAAGCTTACATTGAAGTCATTTTGGGGCCAAAAATGTACAACCATACCACAAAGAAGCTCCTGTACATTTTCTGAGCGTTGAGCGAAAGCAAAGCCCATTCCGATGTAAACGGGCACAATAGAATAACTTGGAAATTTGAATGTCAAGTGTTGAAGCGCTTCTGAAAGTGCGCTTCATATAGCTTAGATGTAAATGTCGGCTAAAGGATGGTTGAAGAATAGGGGTCGGGGGGTGCAGGGTCACTTTTAGTCCTGTTTTAAGCACTGAAGCCCCATGTAGGGTACTATGTGGCTCCAGGTCCCAAATGTTTTTTTTTTAAAAAAGCACTTTAACATAGACATCTTTCTAAGATTTATGACAGTTATCGTAAAAAACGTAATTGTCAAAACAATAATACTTTCAGAAACAAGGTAATACATATGTGTCTTAAGAATATGTTCTGTTGCTGTACCCAGTCACCACTGAAATAAAGGAAACATATCCTACACTAAAAGATTGCCTGCTCTGCTACCCTGGATTACTAGTAAACAAGGAAAGTAAAAGGAAATACCACTGTTGATAACTGCTACCAAAATAGGTCTAAGGGGACATCTAGATATGGGAACTGGTGTCCCTATGACAGCTGTCAAACATGGAATTTGCCTGATCTCTAAGGATATTTCCTCTCACTTCCTGCTATGTTTCAAGGACAGAATTTCCCTAAAAGGGACCCAGACTGCAAGAATCTCCTCATTTTTAATTGGACCCCCTCTCTTTATCAATATTTACGAATAGAGCAAATACCTTATTTTGTATAATCATGTCAGTGTAACTAAGTTACTTAAAGTGGAAGTAAAGTCAGCAAGAAGTCTACAAAAAAAATCTCATAACCCCATTTACTTGGTAAAGCTGATGCGAAACACTCCATAGACCTGAATATGTACACTTACTTTGTTACTTGGTGTAGTCAGCTCTACCCCCCATGTTATTGAAGCTGGCACCAACTTGTATACAGGCCCTGTGCCTGTTTCCCTATCACGCCTTCCGCCCTCCATGTATAGAAAAATAAGCCATCAGCACACAAGAGGTCCACTTTATCGTCCCGTCTTTAATTTGACGTCAAATAAACATGGTATCCCACGCAAATGCAACGTTTCTGAACCTTATGCGATCCCTTCATCAGGCAAAAACCTCCATGTATGTCAGCAACAAAATCCTGTGCATGCACAGTAGAAGATGATCCAATGCGACTTCAACAAGAAGACATAGATTCACGAGAGAATGCTTATGAGAGAGATCTACTCTGACATCATCCCAGCATAGGTGTTGTTTGATTTTTGGCATGCCAGTGACAAATTGCACAGGCGCCAGTGACGTCACCAGAAAAACAGAATAACTCAGCAACAAATAAGCTTTGGTGGATGAAGATGACAGAAACAAATGTATGTACATAATGCTTTTAAACAAAGACAGCTTGCAATGATGACTTTTCTTTCACTTTAAAAATTGTCCTGCTCCCTTTTTTATTTCTTCACTTGGTTTTAATAGCATAATGCTGCCTTTTGTGAGAAATACTGTGATCAATAGCAAAGTGTAGTCTATATTATGTTAGACTGCCACCTGCAGGTCAGAGAGAAATATTTGGTAAATATGTAGAACAAGGCACATTCACTGGCTTAGAGTCAACCTCTTTCATTGGATTTTGAAAGAATATTACAGAGGGTCACTGTCAGTAAATGCAAAATGAATTGTCAGTAAATATGTTGTAAATACTTGAAATCACTTTGATAAGATTGGCTATCATATAATTTGTTTTATTTTATTTTTTCTTCAGAAAATGTATCAATGATAGAAATCCCTGTCCTGGTATAAAAAATAAAAATACTAAATTAAATATTGCTCCCAACTGCCCCTATTTTGGATAGGTCTGTCTGCCTTTTGCAATTCCAATGTTCCTCTTTGCCTTTTCTTAGTTTAACCAATTCTTTTTTTGAATATTAATTTTTTTCTGGTCCTGAGGGTATGCAAGTGTGTCATTTTTCCTCGATAGTCTGTGCTAAAAGATATAGAAAATATTTTAGAAAATATATAATAAAAGTGACACCTCAGTATCATTCTTATGTAGTAAATATAAAAACAATAATGGACCCATCTTAATGCTATTGCTATCAACAAAATGATAAAATATTGATTATCATTCAAACGTTTTTCTAATGATATTAAAATATTTGTCTGATAAGAATGACACTTACCATGAATTTAGATGATATATGTGTGTGTTAGGCACTGCCCTCTAGTGGTAACCAAATTTGATACATTTTTATCATACGCTGCAATAAAAAGACAGTTATAACTAGGGATACCACTTCAGATACCAGTGCCAATACTTGCCATTTTCACGAGAACTACCAGGGTTGCATCGGTTGGAGCTGCGACTGGCTCTAGCACTCCACCACTGTCCTAAAATCATTAGTCTGTATTGTTTTAGAAAAACTGTCACATGACAATAAAAAAAAAGTTATCAGTAAATCGTATCGGCGAGTACTTGGACATGTATCAGTACTTGTACTTGGTCTGGAAAAAAGGGTGTTGGTGCATCCCTAATATATATAGGTACTTAGTATCTGAACATCCCTATATATAACTAATGTGAATCTTTAGTAGTGATGGGCTGAACACACCCGAGTTCGGTTCTAACTAGAACTTTCGAACATGGAAAAAGTTCTAACTCAAACTTAGAACTCAATCCAAGTCTATAGGACCAGAACTCGTAAAATCAAATGCCCCCATTTTGAAGCCTTATAAGCAAGTTATTGGCTATGAAAAGGCTATGGGGATTTGGGCACTGCCCTGGGGGACATGTATCAATGCAAAAAACACTTTTAAAAAAATACAGTTTTTAAGGTATCAGTGATTTTGCCATTGCCTAAAGTGAATCAATAAAAAGGATACATTCCTTTAAATATTGCGCCTGGAGGGGTCCCCTTAAACTGCCTGTAAAGTGGCACATCTGTACGATGTATAGTAGCTGCTGCAGCAAAAATAACATTTATAAAGAAAAAGATTACATTTAAATTGCCGGTAATTGGTTTTGTCTTAATCTTGTAAACAACTGCTTGGGGAGGCAGCCTGTATGAACAAGGTTAGAGATTTTTTGGATAAATTCTGGTGTCTCTTTTGCTGGGTGAAAGTAACAACAGGTGCTTTAATATTGGGCCTTAGTGTTGGTGGTGCCTTCACAATGTAACCCTTCAGAGTTATTCTTCATGAGACCCTGCTCTAAAAATTCAAATGATATATACCTGCCACACAGGTGTGGAAAAAATGGGCCTTTGGTGTTTGTGCCTCCACGCTGTAACCCCTCACAGTTATTGTTGATGAGCGCAGGGATGGGCCCTGCTATAAAAAAATAGAATTATATGAACCTGTCACACACCTTTCTCCTTGTTGGCCTTTCAGACATGATGCAGGGCTTATTATAACATTTTATTAGAGAATGTGGGAAGGGAATTGGTGCTTGGGTGCAATACTTTATTGAATGTGGTGCTTGGTGCACTATAAAAAAAAAACACAGGAAAACGTTACAGAAGGGGGAACACCTGCGACACGGAAGGGGAAACAGCAATAAGGCAGCAAAAGAACCTGCTGCTGAAAAAAAACTACCGATGTTCGAGTCAGACTGTTGTTTGACTCGAACATCAAGCCCATCTTTAAGCGTTAAGGAAAATGCCAAAGGACAGACAGTGGAATTTACTCTAAAAAAGTCCTGTAGAGATTTCTTGGAGAATACATGTTATGTGCTTGCAAAGCAAGGTCAGTTTTTAAAGTGACATTAAAGTCAAATTTTATTTCTCTCCACGTCTCCCGGCCGAAAATCCGTACTGCGCATATGCCCGCCTCAAGATGCTTTGCGGCCACCCAAGC